ATGAATTGAGGAAATGCGGATCTTTTGTATATAAATGTGTGTTTATATTGATGAGTTTAATGTTAATATTTTGAGGGCGTTACATGAACCATACCCCAATGGCTTGGGGGTCAATCTTATTCAATGACAAAGATTTATTACATTTTCTCTCCTATTATGAGAGATGCAATAATTTTTTATTTCTTTTCTAAGTTCGGCTATTTCTTATGGGAGAGGTGCTAAATCCCCCAATATAGCACTTTTGGGGGTGTCAAATTTGTGCTCCCAAACATTTTTCTTCTTGTAGTGATTGTTGGGCTTGATGGTTGATGGGTTTCTAGCTATGTATTCTTGGGCTTGATGGACCAATTTGATATAATTTTTTTCATATTTTTAATTAATATCCTACCTACAGCTTGCCCAAAAAAAAAAAAAAAAAAAAAAAACCAAAAATATTATATTGAACCCCATTAGTGATCACTTGGTCAGCATAAACAATGTGATCAGTTAGTCACCAGACTCTATAATATATTCCATTCCAGTTGATTAGTTTTAACTTAAAGACCATATATCTCTCTACTATTGGACGAATTTAATTGATCATCAAAACATAAATGGAGTTCGGTTATGATATTAAAAAATTTAATAACCATCCCATTAATTTATACGTAATTATTCTACTCTCTACAGGTTGTACAACTACATAAACTCATACAAACCCCATCTTGTGTATCCCATATTTGAGTATTTGATCTCAATACATGTCTTGTTTGGTGCAATTTTTGTTTACATTTTAAGGCACTGGGGCTATAAGTCCAAAAAATTATTCCAAATTTTATTTTATTTTTTTTCTATAAGAAGAAAAATAATTTGAAAAATTATATTACTCATATTTATTTGTCCTTTTGTTCACCTATCTATCTACCATTGATCGTCAGTGACTTTTCTAACACTGGCTACTTTTTGGCAACTTTCCAGCGCTGGTGATAGGGGGCGATTGATACTAGCGTATGAGAATAGAGAACGAAAGTAGAGATTAAAAAAAAGGTTAAATGGTAATAGTAAAATAAAAAAATTAAAGCAATGATTTATACTTCTCACTAATATATTTAGTTAATCATATTGAAGAATCTAAAATCCCGGAGATATTGATTTGTAATTATGTATTAATTTTAACCAGAAAATAGCAATCCCAATTGGAGCACCTCTAATTGTGATAAAAAATCACAGGCAAAAGCCACAAAACAATCCACTAAGAAGACATAAAGGAATTACACAAGTGTACTCTCAATTACCTACGAATCCACGCCCGAATCGAACCGACCCCTATGTGCCTCTTCCAGCCCCGTCTTCATCTCATAATTGTCTTGCCCAACGTTGAATCCACAACGCCGATGTCGAATCCACGACGATGAACCACTCCGGAATCCACCAAAGTTTCAGGCTCAAGTTCCATGGAACCCACCTAAGAACAACTCTCTCTTTTGTGAATAAAACAAACTAAACAAACCCTTTGATATAATTCACTCAATTCATGATTAAACTCTCACAAATATCAAAGGAACAAGCAAAGAAACTCCAGATGAAAACCCTAATACCCAAAAACAAAATCTGGAAGCCGTAACCCTAAATTCTGATAGAACCACATATTTATAGCAAACAGGGCCGTGATGGTCGCTCGAGCGAAGGAATGCTCACTCGAGCAAGGAGACAAAAATGCGTGTTTTTCCAAGTGTCTTCGCTTGAGCCACCAAAGTGTCACTCGAGCGAGAAAAGCATCTTTTCGGTATTTTTACAGTCAGTGAAAACTTCTGGGACCAAAGATTCTTCGCTCGAGCACATAGTCCTTCACTTGAGCTAACAAACAACTTCGAATCCCCGACATAGTTAGCGAAGTGGCAAACATGAAAGAATTAACATCACAAACTACTCTTCAAAGGCACAATTCGGGTTGGATTCACATCAAAAAACTCATAGCCTCACTGAAATAAAAGATCGAATAAAATTACAATTGAAAGGAGTTTTGTCAAACAGGATTGCCAAGTACAAAAACCTAACACATATCTTTAAAATAAAAACAGATCATTGTTTTTTTTTTACTCACTTCTAAACTTAAAATAAAATTAATTGTAATAATATAATAAATATCACATTAATACATAAAAAATAATTTATGAAAGTTATTAATTTATGCGTTTGGATCATCTCCAAATTTTTGTAACATTTGCAGAACGTGTGCCCAGAAGCTACCACGTTGCAAGAGAAGCTCACCAATTTATAATAATGATGGCCTCGTTTTGACTCTTTGGATGAAATCGCCCAAACCACATTCAGAATCTCAACCTTATAGCCAGGTAGTAACAATAATATTCTTGTGATAAAGCTCTACATGTTTGAAATTATCATTTGATTATCCCCATTTTAAAAAGATTTGAGATTATTAAATTTACAATTTTTATAGATGGGTAATTTACGGAAATTTCTAACATACACACCCTTCAAACCGGTGCATCATATGCACCCTTAGATATGACATTTTTTCTTTAGTTATAATTATTATTTTTTAGTTATGACATTATTTTAGTTATGACTCATGAATTTTTTTAATTATATTTCATGTTGTGTTTGGTTATGACATTTTCTTTTAGTTTTTTAATTATGACTCAAAAAGTATAAAGTTAGGCTATTTTCTTCTTAAGTTGTAAGATGCACATGATACATACTTAGGTGTGTATCATAGTGTTTTCCATAATTTATACTTGTTGAATGGTATCCAGATTTTTCAAATCCCTTATAAATGGAAAAGAAGAATATCCAATTTCCTTTTAAAAGATGACATAAGAATACTTGTGTATTGTTATAGCTGTTTCTACTAATGTCATTACAATCTTCAAGCTTTATAGTAATGCAATTTGTTAAGATTCATTTTCTAAACTTAGAATTAGATTCACAATCCAAAACAAAAGAAAAAAAAAAAAAAACAAATTGAGAAGATGGTAAAAAGCTAACTTTTTTGCTTTTTTTTTTGGTTTCTTTGTATAAAGTAGAGAGGTGATGTGACTAAAAAAAAGACAAAAAGTTAAAAAAAAAAAGAAGCTAAAAAGCTAATCTTCCCAAATTGCAGTACATCATTTGATGAAATTTATGATGTTATTTGTAATAGAAAAAGAGAATCAAGCTTGTCATGGACTCTTCCTAACATGTTAATCTCTTTCTCTCTCCCCTCTCTTTTACAGCTCCCATCATAAACCACCACCTCCTTCCCCGCCAACCACCACCTCCCTCCTTATTCACCAAATCTCAAATCAACATCAAACCTAGAATCACCGCCACAAACTCATCACCACCAATATCAAATTTGAACCATTTTGGTAATTTCTACTGGCAACATTTCTCTTTCAAATCAATATAAAAGAAGCCAACAATTTTTGGTGCTACAAGGTAGGTATATATTCAAGAAAAATAAAAGTAAAAGCAACACAAAATAAAATAAATAAGATGACAATAAAGAGAGCAGCCACACCATATGTGTTCGGTTCGGTTACTACCATACACACATGGCACCCAAAAGCCCCAAGGGTACACCTCTCTTTTTATTGATTTTCGCTCTTTAGCATTTATTCTTAGAATAAAAATCCCAATATGAAAAGCATATTTTAGTGGGTAATAGAGAAGATTGGGTTTTATCTAATATCTAGCATATCCTTACTAAACAAAATAGCTTTGCACTATCTTCGAGGCTCGAGTTTTGCTAAGTGCACAAAATTAGTGCAAATATGCAGAATAGAAAGGGATCAATTCTGCGCATTTTCATGGGCAGCAATTCTGTGCATATAGGTGAGGCTTTACGAAATTTTTTAGGTGGATAACAATTGAGAAACAATGTGCATGGTTGGCCTAGATTGTGGATTGACATGCAAACATGCGATTGCCAATTTTACACTACACATCACTACCTCGTCAACTTCAGGGGAGGGAGGTGAAAGGTGTTGGTCCAACACATCCTTTAGCTGTATGTTCTCAACAGCTGGGGTCAGCAGGGACATGATGAAGTCTCCCGGAAAAAAAAACAAATTGAGAAGATGGTAAAAAGCTAACTTTTTTGCTTTTTTTTGGTTTCTTTGTATAAAAAAGTAGAGAGGTGATGCGACTAAAAAAAAGACAAAAAGTTAAAAAAAAAAAGAAGCTAAAAAGCTAATCTTCCCAAATTGCAGTACATCATTTGATGAAATTTATGATGTTATTTGTAATAGAAAAAGAGAATCAAGCTTGTCATGGACTCTTCCTAACATGTTAATTGCTTTACATCATAAACCACCACCTCCTTCCCCGCCAACCACCACCTCCCTCCTTATTCACCAAATCTCAAATCAACATCAAACCTAGAATCACCGCCACAAACTCATCACCACCAATATCAAATTTGAACCATTTTGGTAATTTCTACTGGCAACATTTCTCTTTCAAATCAATATAAAAGAAGCCAACAATTTTTGGTGCTACAAGGTAGGTATGTATTCAAGAAAAATAAAAGTAAAAGCAACACAAAATAAAATAAATAAGATGACAATAAAGAGAGTAGCCACACCATATGTGTTCGGTTCGGTTACTACCATACACACATGGCACCCAAAAGCCCCAAGGGTACACCTCTCTTTTTATTGATTTTCACTCTTCAGTATTTATTCTTAGAATAAAAATCCCAATATGAAAAGCATATTTCAGTGGGTAATAGAGAAGATTGGGTTTTATCTAATATCTAGCATATCATTACTAAACAAAATAGCTTTGCACTATCTTCGAGGCTCGAGTTTTGCTAAGTGCACAAAATTAGTGCAAATATGCAGAATAGAAAGGGATCAATTCTGCTCATTTTCATGGGCAGCAATTCTGTGCATATAGGTGAGGCTTTACGAAATTTTTCGGGTGGATAACAATTGAGAAACAATGTGCATGGTTGGCCTAGATCGCGGATTGACATGCAAACATGCGATTTCCAATTTCACACTACACATCACTACCTCGTCAACTTCAGGGGAGGGAGGTGAAAGGTGTTGGTCCAACACATCCTTTAGCTGTATGTTCTCAACAGCTGGGGTCAGCAGGGACATGATGAAGTCTCCTGGATGCTTTCCTTTGATCACTTCTAGTGCCAACACACCAAAGCTATAGACATCACACTTTTCAGTTACCTTCTTTGTGTAAGCAAGCTCTACAAAAAAAAAAGAAGAGAGACATGGTAATGCACTTGTTTTGTTATGCTTCAGATTTTATGTCAATTTAGGAGAGCATAAAACTATGTTTACTTGGTGCAACATATCCGTATGTGCCTGCAAATGCACTCCAGTTAGAGGAATCTAGCTTCAAAAGCTTGGCAGTGCCAAAGTCCGAAACACAAGCCTCGTACTCCTCATCAATCAGAACATTATTGCTGGAAATGTCTCAGTGAATAATGGGCGGTGTGCAATCATGGTGCATGTATGACAAAGCTCTTGCCACACCCTTAATAATATTCACCCTCTTAGGCCAATCCAATTGTTTAGCTTCTTCGTCTTTGTTAAAAATTGTAGCCAAACTACCCCTTTCAAGGTACTCATAAACTAGAAAAGAATGGCCGAGCATGTGAACAATACCCAAAAAGCTTCACTATGTTTCGATGCTTAGTTTCTGTCAATGCCCTTACCTCATTTAAGAAATCTTTCCTATCAGCCCTCTCGGATAACGGATGAAGTTTCTTCACAGCTACTATATTAGTTGATGGTAACTTCGCTTTGTAGACAATTCCATATCCTCCTTTTCCAATGCAATATATGGCATCGAAATCATTGGTAGCTTGTACAATGTCATTGTACATTGCTCTTCCATTGACTATTGATATCGATAACAAATCTTTTTTCGGGGGTTGGGTGTCACCCTTTTCAACTTGTGACTTTGTCTTTCTTGAATTGAACATAATGAGAAGTCCATTGAATGCGCCTAGAAGTAAGAGTGCTCCACCAAGAGGGAGCATGATTACAAGAACAAGTGTCTTTTTTGCTAGAGTGTGTTTGTGTAATGCAAAAAGAACCTTGCAAGGCTGCAAGCCTTTGACATTTCCACACAGACCTTTGTTCCCTTGCAGTGCTTCTATTGATGCATTCATGAAGGCGTTGCTCATGGGAATAGGACCTTGCAACTAATTGTACAATATATCAACATACACCAAGCCACGCATATCTTCAAAACTCTTTGGAATGAGACCAAAGAGTTTATTGTGGGAGAGGTTCAACTTCTCCAAGCTTTGCAAATTTGTGATTTCCAATGGTATTTCCCCTATGAGAATGTTACTACTCAGATCCATCTTGGTTAGTTGAAATAACTTACCAATCTGTAATGGAATTTTCTGGTTGAACATGTTGTTGCTCAGGTTCAAGTAAAACAGATTTCGATAGTTCTCCAAAATACCTGGTATTGGCCCACTAAATTTGTTTGTGGATAGATCAAGTTTTGACAACTTAGTTAGTGATCTGAGTTCTTGAGGTATCCAACCTCGAAAGCTGATTATCAGCCAAAATCAACCACTCCAAAGAAGTCAACTTTCCAAATTCCTTTGGGATCACCCCAACTAAACGATTTGAAGATAAATCAAGTCGTTCTAGTCGTGTTGACTTTCCAAACCCTGGTGGAATGCTACCGGTGATGTTATTTCTTGCTATTTTTAGGAGTGTCAAATTTGGGAATATTCCCCAATTTTATGAGAATTTGCCATATAAATTATTGTTACTCAGATCTAGGTAGACCAGGTTTGGATTAGTGCCCAAATCTTCGGATATATTTCCAATGACTTGGTTTTCATCAAAACGAGCTCTGACTAAGCTTGAACAGTTTTTCAAGCTTTGGGGAATTGTACCTATGAGGTGGTTGTGGTTCACAGTGAAGTTTACAAGTTTCCACCTTGGCAAAGCTCTGGGAGATTTCCAGAAAATTGGTTTTCATCCATTTCTAGTACAATCAAGTTCGCCAAATTGCCAAATTCATGTGGAATGGGACCGGAAAGTTGGTTAGGACGAAGGAAAAGAGTTTCTAAGTTAGACAAATTGCCTAATGAAGAATGAATAGAACCACTGAGTTGATTTTCGCTCACTTCCAGATCATTGAGGGACTTCAAATTTCCTAGTTCTTTAGGAATTAAACCAGAGAGTTGATTATTCCAAAGATATTGGAGTGTTAGGGAGCTCAAATCACCAAAAGATGTTGGAATTGAGCCAGTAAGATTGTTGGTTTCAAAGCTTAGGCTCTGGAGTGATTTCAACTTTCCTATCTCTTATGGAATGGAACCGGATAGGTGATTGTTGGACAAGTGCAACTCAGTTAGCTTATTTAACTTTCCAAGAGTGGAAGGGATGGGACCCGTGAAATTGTTGCTATCCATGTAAAGCTCGACAAGATTGACAAGGTTTCCTATTTCGGGAGGGATAGGACCAGAAAGATCATTATCATAGAGATATAGACGAGCCAAGTTTCTCAAATTTCTTAAGGAAGCGGGAATGGGTCCAGAAAGACTGTTGGTGTACAAAGCAAGCTCAGTAAGAGACTTTAACTGGCCTATCTCTTGAGGAATTGAGCCATTCAATTGATTTTCGACTAGGTGAAGAGTGTTAAGATTTGTCAACAAGCCAATTTTTGGTGGGATGTTTCCCGAGAACTGGTTGACGGACAAATCAAGATAGATGAGTTTTGAGAGGGAGCCAATTAGAGGTGAGATGACACTGAAGAGGTTATTCATGCTGAGATCGATATATGCAAGGTTGGGAAATGATGAAAATGTAAAGTTGTTGAGCGTACCATTTAGACTTGAATCTGTGAGGTTCAACCTATTGACACTTCCATCAGCGTTGCAAGTAACTCCAAACCAGTTGCATGGGGCGGCACTTGTTGAGATGTTATCAAGAGGTGGAAGGACCCATGAAGTTTGCAAGGAATGGTTTGTGCTTTGCAGGGTGGCTTTCCATGTGATGAGAGCATTAGCTTCTTTAACGGAAGCATAAGTAACATTAATGGTTGAAGAAAATAGTGTAACAAATAGGACTAAGGAAACAAGGTAGAGTTGTTTCTTTAACAGTCTCATTGTTTTCCCCTTTGATGAACTAATGGGTAGTTCAAGGCTCTAATTTATATACATGTTTTTCCACTGGTCTATTGTCGTAGTAGACTTTGAAAATGGAAGTCTTCTTGTTCAGATGTATAATAGAATAAGTAAAAAGAAGAGCATATGTAATAATAGGAAGTGTTTTAGCGTTTTGGCTTCAGTACATGCATAGTTTACACTTGGTTCCTGGTTCAATTCTTCTCAACAGCAATTTGAATTTTTTTTCAGGCAGTTTTTGTGTAGAATGTTAAGAGTTTCCATTTGTATCAGTCATAAAATTAAAAACAGAAAAACCAAGCAGGTTTTGGGTCATTTTTTAGCGCAAGAGCCTGTTCTAGAGTTAGGAGGGCAGTCCTTTGTTATATTTTTCTTTTTTCTTATTCGTCTTCTTTTTCTTTTTTTTTTCTTTTCATTAAGCAGTTTTCGCAAGTCTATTGCTCCTATTTACTGAAGACATAGTGTTCCTTCTCTTCCATTCCATCACTAGCTTTGGGGAAGTGCTGCTTTAACCATTAGCATTTATTCCCAGAAGGCATCAAATCGAGTGGAGTTAAGTCCAGTCGAGTTGAATATTGATTAACTCTAGTCAATTCTTATGCTTTCTGGGAATAAATGCTAATGGTTAAAGCAGCTAGTACAAGACATGAATGTTGTATTGCAGATAGGGCATTTTGTATTTTGTTATATGTGAACTTTGGTTAAAGTGTTTTTCTTCATTGCGCTAGGGATATTTGTCGGATTAAAGGTTTGTACAAGCCTGGTTCAAAGTGTAGACAGATTTGCTCTAGCCTGGCTCAAGTCCGACCTTTATTAATTCCCTTATCCAAGCCTGAACACTGAGTTTATTTCAAAATTTTAACTCTAGCTTAGGTTGCCCGAATTTAACACAAAAAATAATTTATTGTGTTGTGCATTGAGTTGTCTTTAACCAATTCATTGCACTTTTTAAAAATAAAAAGGGTGAAAAAAAATTCTCAAAAACTACAACTCTCAACATAATTCGAATTAAGTTAAACAATCTATCAATTTGATCGAACCTGCCCGTATTGCACACTAACTCTGGCGTATAAACTTGGGCAATGGTCTTTGTTTATCTTGTAGCTACTACTCTGGCGTATAAACTTGGGCAATGGTCTTTGTTTATGGCGTATAAACTTGGGCAATGGTCTTTGTTTATGGCGTATAAACTTAGGCAATCGTCTTTGTTTATCTTGCAGCTACACAGTGGAGTCTCCAGTCAAGGCAATGACTTTTAAATCATATAAAACTACTAGGAAAAAGTTCTATATGAGACTGGAAATTTTGGATTGACCAACTCAACACATTATTTTCTGCAAAAGAATCATGTCCCTGTGGAAAGAAATCTGCACCCAGAGTTTGAAATTAAGCAAAGAGTTCTAGGTTTTAAATAATATTTATTTATTTAAATAAATATCATAAATTAATATAATTATAATTATCAGATTGATATGATTTTTTTTTGAATGATCAACAGATTGTGGTCTAAAAAATGAATGGTACAAATTGTGGGACTTGTGGTGGGCGTCATGGGCCCAAACAACACCGACAAACTGGTCCCTATAAATATATATAAAAGTGTTATGAATATGTGGAAAGTGTATTAAAATTATAAGTATTTTGGTATTTTATGTTCTTTATTGATATCTATTGGGGCTATCATTAGCAAGATCTTATTTTTTTTCTTAAAAAAATGTATTACAAAAAGGGTAACACTAGGGGTGGCAATGAGACTGATGGCCCACCAAGCCCAACCTACTACAACAAAAACACATTTTAGTGGCACTACACTAGTGGCATCTTTTTAGAAAATGTCACAAAAATAATATTTGGTGACACGTTTTAAAAAAATGCCACAGAACCACAAACATATAAGATTCTAGTGGCATTTCCATAAAGAAATGTTACATCAATTTTATGGCATTTTATAAAAGAATGACACAAGAAATTGTTTTAGTAACATTTATCAACAGATGTCACTAAATTAGGTAGGTGCAAGTTACTTTTTATGGCATTAGGTGAAAAGTGTCAGAAACAAATATTTTATAGCATTTTGAGAAATGTCACTAAGCCAAAAACTTTTCAAGCTATCTAATGGCATTTTTTGAAAAAACAAAAAATGCCAATATATTTTCAAAATTTTTAAAATGCACAAAATAAATAAAAACAAATAAATTAAACTCAATATAACATGTTTTTTTAACTGTACTTACCACATGTACAAAAATTGATCAACGACTTTATATGACTTAACAGGAAAAATAAAATTTCAAATTGCTCTCAAGTACAATGATAAAGTTTCTTGAATTTTAGTCCATGAAATTTCAATTAACTCGATTTTGACTCTGAATTTACTGATTCATCTCAATTTATTTCAATTGCTTATAATTGTTGAGTAAATTACATCAATAATCCTTACATTTTGTTGTTTCGTATAATTTTAATTGACTCAATTTTGACACTTAATTTTAGATTTTACGTCAATTTAGTTGAATTGATAGCATCTTTAGGGTCTTTGATAGAAAATTTTCATTGAATTGGTTAAGGTTAAGTCACTGAATTGACCAAGCATTTTGTTTTACTCCTAAAACGATGACAAGTTGCATTTGTCATAAAAAAATGCTATTAATTGGACCAATTTGAGACAAAATAAAAAATTCAAGGTTAAAATCGATTCAATTGAAATTGTAAAGACTAAAATGACATAATAGTCAAATAGAGGGACTAATAGCGTAATTTGCCCTAATTGTTAGCATTTTTTAATGACAAATATGCATACAAGTGATATATGTCATTCTTTTAGAGGTAAAATAATAAATTTGCTCAACTCCTTGAGTTAACTTCCACAAATTCAGTGATCATTTTTCATCAAAACACTAACGGTATTATTAATTGGACTAAATTAACACAAAATTAAAAATTACAGGTTACCATTGATTTAATTAAAAATATAAGGACCCAAATTAACATTTATTTATTTTATTTAAAATATGAACAAACTTAATCCATATGATACATCTGGTCTCATTCTCCACCATTTTATATATATATATATATATAACTGTGGAGAATGAAATAAGGAAGCTAAAAGGAAACAAACTATATATTATTATATACAGTTATATATATATATATAACAAATGAAATAAGGAATCACAAAGGAAACAAACTGTCTACAATATTTTTTTAGTTTAGTGACATTTAAAGTGCCACAAAATTATTAGTTTAATGACATTTTTTAGTCTTGTGGCATTTTGAACAAGTGCCATTTGTGTCCGTGCCATAGTAGATACTAGTTCCATGGTAGATACTTGTAAGTGCCACTACACCATCATGGTTAAAAACTTTCAATTACATTTTGATGTCATGGTAGATATTATTTGTGGCACTATCAAGCGCCATTAAAAAAAAAGTTAGTGACACTTATAAGTGCCATTACACCATCAAGACTAAAATCTTTCAGTGACACTTTAATGTCATGGTAGACACTATTCGTGACGCTATCAAGTGCCATTCGTGACGATAATTCGTTGCAGAACAATTTGATCTGCTCTTGCGGAGACTCGAACCGCCAACCTCCCGCACCATAAACCTTATACACCACACTCTTCCCACTACACCTCTATAGCACCACATGATTA